TTGGGAAAGACAAAGATATAAGAGAATCTTGGAATGCGGGGCATGCGGACACTAACATGTTAAAATAAGGAATGCATACGTGGAGTTCGCCATCCATTTACATCAAATGGATAGGCCACGGAAGCCCTCGTAGGAGCGAAAGCTCCCTTTCTTTAGTGAGTTTACCTTTTAGCCGAACACAAAATATATAAGGAAGGCCCCCGATTTATTTTTTTTTTGTTCATATAGTACATGGATTAGTTTGAACATGTACCAAAAATACAGAAATCACATTGAACAGATTAAAAATTTATAAACCATATTACATAGTGGATCAAGAACTAAGGATTATCGGTGTAATTTTCCCTCTCTGTAATGACAGTTACATAAAATCAAGATATTCAAGGATTGGCGTCGCACCCGAAAGAGACAAATGGTACATCTTCTTGTCCTCCACATGTAAAAGAGGACCCTTAACGATGAAGACAAGTCCACCTTTCTCGAATTTCCAGCTGTGGTATGCAAATCTTGATGGAGCCACATGTACCAAGCCTACATCAACTAAAATTCCCCTCCCACATTGAATACTCCTTATTCACTATACTTTATCAGATACACGTGATGAGTTGCACTTAAAACCCTTTTATACAACCCAAATGATAACGAGAGGAGCTCTTCTATTCTGCTTTTGCTTATCAATTGGAGATCTTCCATGCGCACAAAACCCTTCCTCCCACATCTTCTCCCCCATGCAAAAGCATTCCATACAATAACCGTAGGGGCGGTCCGATTAATCGTTTCTCCTCCCCTGCACAATCAATACCGCCTTTCTCCTAAAATTCGATATCACGGAACAAAATGCTTCTCCCCTTCTCCACTCGTGCTCGTATACATATACGCGCGCATATAGACCTGATGACCATTCGAGGGTGCGTGTTCAGATGGCCCCGGCGTCGCGTGGACACGGGGAAGACGAGTACATGGGCAATCTAGATGTCGACCCAACTTGTGGAAACAAGAATATGAGAGAGACCCACAAAACGGGTCGCATCAAATTCCAAAGTCCAATTCCTAATGGAAGGGGTTAAAGTCAAGTGGACCCTTTTTGTGCTCCGCATAATTGCTTGGCCGGACTTGGACCGTGGAAGTCAGAGTCCAGCAGCCCCACGCCAAGGAAGAAAAGAGTTAGCCGCCGGTTAATTTACCCACTTATTTATTAAGAACCTCTGCAATTAGGTGATGACTTTGAATGAAAGATGTCATTACAGCACTATTTGGACGGCTCACATCGATTGTTCCTAAAAATTTCCCCATTTTATATCGATGATAAAATTCAAATCAAAGAGGAAATTAGCCGATCCATCGTAAAGCTACTGTACGAATGCCATTTCAATTCTAAACTTTTTCAATTTCGTTAATTGATTCCCGAGTCTCCGCGCGAAATTCCAATGCAGTCCTTCCGGTCAATTTTCGCCGGAAATCGTTGACGTGGTGGTCTAGTCATTGCCGGCCGTCCTACGTGGCACACCAGTCCGTCAGAGTTTTTCGGCGATATTTGATCGAAAAGAACGTATTGGAGTTTCGTGCAAAGGTTTAGGACTCGATTGACAAAATTGAAAAATTCAGGACTGAACTAATATCTGCACAATAAGTTTAGACCTGATTAGATAATTTTCAGAAACGGAAACTATTTCTAATTAGGAAATTGACTATACAATTGCATTCTCCTAAAGACCACTGCCATGTGGCTCATCCAATTGCAAAATTAGCTTGACACGTCCACCATGCGTTAATTAATTGGGGTTAGTTTATAAAATCAATTTTTTCTAAAGCCCCCACTAATCTATTTTTATAGACAAGATGAGGTGGTTCGAGATAAAGACATGCACAATAGGCCAGAAAAGCGAGCAAATCATGGGCGTCACAAAAAGCATCCCCCCACTCCTCCCCCCAAAAAGCACAATACGATAATATTCCATGCTTAACCCATTAGGAAAATTGGCTCGATCGCACGGAAATCGATGACAGGTTCGATTCCTGCCTTCGTGATTAAGGTTTGAGTAGGGAGGCACGGCGGTGAGTTGTTGTACCGATTCCCTTTCGGATACCAAAGTAATAAATCGTGCCCTTGAATTATAAAAAAAAATATTATAGAATTATTTAGGGAAAAGAACACAAATAATCCATCAACTTTGGTTTAGTACGCAATGTCGTTTCTGAACTTTTAATTGCTCGATGTGGTCCTTGAACTTTGGTCCAATGTGCAATATTGTTCCTGAATTTTTAATTTGTTTAGTATGGTTTATGAACTTTGGTCCAATGTACAATGTTGTCCCTAAACTTTTCATTTGTGCAATGTAAACGATAAATTTTGATCCAATGTGCAATGTTGTTCAAAGACTTTTAATGTATCCAATGTAGTCCCTGAACTATTGGTAAATGTTCAAGGTAATCCGACGACAATATGAAAGTTTCATACCGATTACTTACGACCGACCAATTTGATCCCACGAAAACAATTGACTCGTAAAATTCGATCATTGTATCCTCGTCCACCGTCGCATAGACAAGAGCTTCGATTTTCACGACTAGCTGTGTAAAAAAATATTTTACACTTACGATCTACATTATTTAATCATGGGTCTTCCGTAGATCATTGGTGTTTGGTAACAAGGTAACCTCACCACAGAAGAGGAGCCGAAACTCCAAAAGGGCCTCTTGTGGCCTGTCTGTTTTATATATATGAACGAACAAATTCCACAGATGCGTTCCTTATTTTAACTTGTCGGTGCCCGCATGTCTTGCATTCCCGATTCATCCTAAATCTTTTTCTTCCCTAAGAAAAGAGAATACCTTCTGAAAGTTTTACATCCCGATGATCTCGAGATCCGGACGAGAACCGAGATGGAGTCTTTTAAGGATATGCTCAGGTCCTAAATTATATACACGACTGTGGCAACTAATATCTTTTCAACACATTGACTATTAAATAGCTTCCTCGTTGACCCCAAAGAGGACCCAATCCAAACACATCAACTCAAACCAATTCGCACTCGTCGCGGCACCGTCCACTCGCAATAAAATTCCACGATCGAGACTCCTATCTTTGCATTTTTCACATTGTGGACTTCACATCACGTCCATGTCCAAAGCTTTAGCTGTAATTGCCAATTTATCCCCTTTTTTAAGCATCTGCAAAAAATTAAAATAAAAACCCGTATCGATGTTTTGTTGCCCGAATTAAATCAAATTCCGGATTTGCGAGAAAGAAATTTGCCATAGAGTTATATTGGACTTTTGTTTGCAGCTCGTGCGCGGAGGGATTAGCAAAGGCGGATCGATTCGATTCGATTCAAAATGGCCTTCTTACCGGAAAGAAAAAGGAAAGATGGTCCAAAAACAAATTAATGAAAAGGGTTTGTTTTTTTTTGGAGGTTGGAGGTTGTATTATATTTTGTTTTTGTTGTGAGTTTTCAAAGTTGCAACCATGTGGCCTATTACGTTCACTTAAAAAAAAATTCAATAAATTTCGACCAAAACAAAGTTTCCAATAAATTAAAAGGAAAGAATCACAAAAAATCCTCAAAATAAGCCCATTGCGACACATTTACTTTGTGACATTAAAAACTCCAAACTATACCCATTGAGATACATTTACCCTAAATTTTTTCTTGTGTCATAGAAAACCCTAAATTTGTATCTATGTGACACACTTATCCTTCGTCAAGTTTCCGTTAGCAAAACAATGTCGGTTTTATTTCACTTAGAACATTGTATCCATGCACGCAGATTTTTAATGGTTCACATTGATAGCACTTTGATAGAGGGTAAATGTGTTATGCAGGTACACGTTTTGTATTTTTTGTGTCAAAGGAAAATATTAGGGTAAATGTGTCATGCAGGTAAATGTATCACAGTTGACATGGTTTAGGACTTTTGGTGGCTCTTGCCCTAAATTAAATCATGTAAGGAAATTTATTATAGCAATTGTAGGACAAAAATGATTTGAATTCAAATTTGGGGTGCATTTGTTTTACGGAAAATATAACGTTTTTGGAAAATATTTTCCGGAAAATCATTTTCAAGAAAATAGTTAGTTTTCCTTTGTTTAGTGATATGTGATCAAAAATATTTTCTGATGTTCGGATCTCATTTGGAAAATGATTTCAATCTCATGATTTTATCTCAGGCAAAAAAATTTTCGAATTTTTAAATATTTTTTATTTTTAAAAATAAAAAAGAAAAAGAAAAAAAGAAAAAAGAAAGAAAAGAATAAAATATTAAAAAAGTAAAGGGAAGCAATTCTGGAAAGTATTTTCACCTTCTTAGACTAGGGAATTCACTTTCCTAATTTTATACGTGAATATTTTCCTTGACTGGAAAGTGTTTTTAGTTGACTAATCATTTTTGGCGAAAATTAGAAAAACGGATTCCCGAAAAAATACTTTTCCTGAAACAAACGCACCCCAAATTAAAAGATCTATCGGATCGCATGAAAAGATTGTGTCGAGAAATTCAACTCACAATTTGTCCACAAAAATATATTGGCCTTTCATGAAATTCTAGGGTCATTATGCCCCCTCCAAATTATTTTTATACCACAGAGAAATGAAACAACTCGTTTTTATTGAGTTCGTATGCACTCCCGAGTCAACGAAAATCGACAAGAATAAAAGAACGAAGCGGCTCGGCTCGATCGGGAGCCAAATCGAGCTCCGGAGCCGAGGCCGGTCCGATTCGATCGCGGATTACGGTCGGCTCGGTGCGCCCGTTCCCCCGAGGCGCGCGAATTGTATCGAAAATCGTGACCCGAGACCGTGGACATCCCCAATATTTTTTTTATTTTTTTTATTTTTATAACTAGTTTTTTGTCTAAATTGAGGAAGGAAAAAGAAAAGAGAAGAAAAGGAAAAGAAAAAAGAAAGACAAAGCATCATCAATCATAGTACCGAGGACGGGGGACCCCTTTGAACATGATTCAAAGCAAGCGAAGGCCAACCTTGGAAAGAAAGAGTCGTCATCCTCCCCGCTGGTCTTCTTCACTCCTCACCACCACCACCACCACCGCACCTACCTCTCTCTTTCTCTCTCCTCTCCTCCCCCACCCACTCTCTCTCTCTCTCTACAAGGCACACCCGAGGGGCTCGACCCAGTTCTCCCGGCGCCATTCGCGAGGTGGGTATGTGAGCCCCGGTCGGTTTGGGCGGCCATCGCGATCTGCGGCGAGGATCTCGGGAACCATGGGCGGCGGCGGCGACGGCGGGGGAGGAGGGGGCCTGGCGGAGGCGCAGTACGTGAAGGCGAAGACGTCGGTGTGGTGGGACATCGAGAACTGCCACGTGCCCAAGGGGTGCGACCCCCACGCCATCGCCCAGAACATCAGCTCCGCCCTGGCCAAGCTCAACTACAGCGGCCCCGTCTCCATCTCCTCCTACGGCGACACCACGGGCATCCCCGCCGCTGTCCAGCAGGCGCTCTCCAGCACCGGCATCGCTCTCAACCACGTCCCCGCCGGTAACGACGCCTCCCCTCCCCTCCCTCCCTCCTCTTCCGCTTGTGGATGCTGATCGATGTGCGAATTCATAGTGTTCCTTCTTTGTGATCTTCTGGTGAAAGATTCGGTTTTTACCTCTACGTGTTCGTGCTGATCGGCCATTGATTTTGTTTTCTCCGTTCAAGTTTGATCGCTTCGGCTGAATTAAGCATGAGCTTGATCTAGGGCTGGTGACACCCGTGGTTGTCTCTGGGTATACTTTGATTGAGCTTTAAAAAGGCATCTAAGCTAGATGGTCATTGTACCTCTGCAGTTTTTGGGTTTCTAGTTTAAGAGGCGTGTCTAGATCTACTCGGTTGTTAGGGCATCCTTGGACGTGAATTTAGCTCCAATTTGTCCTCTGCAAATGGATATTCTTGACCATGGAGCTACTGCCTATCTTCCGTTGCTTTTGGGATGGAAACATAAGCTAAGTCAGTTAACGTTCGCAGGTGTTAAAGACGCGAGCGATAAGAAGATACTGGTGGACATGTTGTTCTGGGCGGTGGACAATCCTGCGCCAGCTAATTATCTTTTGATCTCTGGCGATCGAGACTTTTCTAATGCTCTTCATCAGCTGCGCATGAGAAGATACAACATTCTTCTAGCGCAGCCTCAAAAGGCGTCGGCACCCTTACAGGCCGCTGCAAAGACCGTGTGGTTGTGGACCAGTCTCGTGGCTGGTGGGCCTCCTTTGACGATCATCGAGTCACAACAGTTTGGTAACCATGTTTTTGGTTCTTCTAGTTCGGAAACATTACCGGTCCCAGTTTCTAATTCTTTTCCGATGAAGCAACCTGGGGATGTCCATTCCGAAAGTTCTCATATAGGGAACCATAAGAAGTCTCCCAATATGGGAAAGGGTCATGACCCTAAACATAATAAAGGAAAAGGGAACCGGAAAAATATGGGTCATTCTGGTCCAAAGAATTCGAGTGCATCCTTTGGGTCTGGAGATGATCAAAACAATCCAAGCTTTTACCAGCAAGGCGCATCTAACCATAGGGGTCCTGTTGGTGGATCTGTTATGACTGGCAATCACGATCCTTCTTGGAGCCATAGCAACGGGCAAGGCAATTATCCGATTCATTATCCACCCCCTCCAAGGCCAGACTGGCCAGACTTTCCTGTGCATTGCGCACTCCCACAAGCGAATTTGTATCCGCCCTACAGCCCTCCTTTTAGTAGCACTCCTGTGGTGCCTCCTCGGCCAGATAGGCCTAGGAGTTCACAGGGTCCTCCAGACATCAGTAAGTTAAATATTTCGGCTCACCCAAGCAATGTTCAGAATCCTCCTACTTTTCATCAGCCGAATGGAGAGCTAAAACAGAGGCCTAACCTTGTCAAAAACAAGCCATCAACCTATCATGACACCGTGAACAATAGGTTTCCTCGATGCCCTGAGTATCCATCCTCAACTTCCTGTGCCCCATCTACTCCTGATTTTCCAAGTAATGGTACTTGGGGAACTTCTGGATATCCAAAACCTTCCGAGTACATCCAAAGTCTTATAGGAGTTATCTTACTCGCCTTGGACACCCTAAAGAACGAAAAGATTATGCCAACTGAAGCCAATATAATTGATTGCATTCGATATGGAGATGCCAAGCATCGCAACACTGATGTGAAACAGGGCCTAGAGAGTGCCATTGAGCATCAAATGATAGTGAAGCAAAATTTAGGCAACGTCCAATTGTATGTTGGTAAGAATGAAAAACTGTGGAATTGTGTGAACCCTGCCGGGAATGCAAACGATTATCCTAAGGCAACATGGCGTGAGATTCAGAATTTCTTGACATCATCCGTCGGACGGTCTGCAATTCTGGCTTCTCAGTGCAGGTTGGTCCTCTTATTATGAATTCATACGTGGTATTTCTACAGTTTTTGCATTGAGAAAGATTCACTTACATGTTCTCTTGCTTGCCATCTAGGTATGAAGCGGGTATGACTATGAAGCGCATGTGCTTGAAACAACTTGCTTTAGGTGAGGTTCTACAAATTCTTAACCTAATACTTACGAGGAAAAGATGGATATTGCACCACCAATCAGGATGGCAGCCTCTTAAGATTACTCTCGCGGAGGCCAACACCAACTCTGTGGCCAGTGACGACGGATGGGGGAGTGGTTGGGAATAGGCAAGGAGTGTAGGTAGACCCGGGGGGCTTGGGGAGTTGAGCCCCTATTACCCCATCTCCATCTAGGATTCTTTACTTTTGATTTTTGCCCATTAGATTTTTTTTTCTTTTGGAGTTTATAACTCACCTTTCCTAGTCCTAGATCCTCTATCTGCCATAACTAAGGGGGTCGTCTTGCATGGAAGCATACCATACACTGAATGTGAAGGTGGGTTGTATTTGGTGAAAATGTGGTAAGTTACTATCATTTGGATGACTGGTATCTGAGAAAACCAAGGGCCGTATCCTGGTCTAATGTATTGAAGGAGTAGTTAAACCCTTGGAACATGAAGCTTTGAGGTCTGCAAGTTGTTGGATATAGATTCCTTTGCCATGTGCTTTACACTTTTGCCTTAGGTGTTTTGACTATGGGCATATGATGATGATATCTTTCCAACTTACGCCGGGACCTTTTAGAACTGAGACACGTGGAATCATTCTATGGATTTAACTATTCATGCAGCCATATTACGGTGGAATTTACTGTTGGTCTTTTCTTATGGAGCAAGTTGGAGGTTCTTGCAAAAAGGCTCCTTGCTTCATTGATCTGATGCTTAGACTGTCAAAAGAAGTCGAGCAAGAGATGCTACTAGTTTGTTGGAAAATGGGTCTTCTCTCTGCTGGAAGTTTAGGCTTTGGCTATGGAATGGTGGATCCTTCAAATATATGCCGCAATGAAACTCTACACGATCAGTTTTTGCGAAGCTTTACGTAATGGATTACAACCCGACGCCAATTTGTGTCCCGTTATCACGTCGCTTCATTCACATCATATCTCACACGATGTCGAGAAAAGGACGAGGAGAGAAGTTTTTAAGCACAGGGATGGATGCCATAAAATTAGCTCTCCGAAGTCCGAGCGAAGTTATTGAGCTTTATGTACAGTGGTATGTAATTCCTGTATTAATAAGGTAATAATACTTGGTGAAACTTGTTGGTTCTTATTAGACTCTACTTTGCCCTTTGTGTCTGTCCCTTTTCCGGATCTCGTTTACAGTTCTCGTCAAGCAGAACTGAAAGGGGTGATGTAATTGTGGGATATCTTGATGAGCCTATTATCTGATGCCGATCATCCTGTTATATAAGCTGTCATTAGTTTCTCTTCCTATTATCATCATTTCTTTAAGTTTTGGTACTAGGAATACCTCTGTAATTCATAGTAAGGGCAAGTTGGAATGTTTGCATGAGTTTGGTGGTTTCGGCAATTGTTAGAAGGGACACCCTTTGGCCAGGTTGATCTCTCTAGGAACATCCTACTCAAAAGCAGAGGTTTCTGCAAGAAATCCCTATAGCATGAGAGTGATGCTTTTCGCCTGCTACTGCTGTATATGAATATTTTGCTACAGTTTAGAAGGAGGAAGGTGCAAAGAAATGCAAACGATTTTCCGGAATGTCGCCCATTTCTGGTTTTAACTGATAAATTCCACAATAATTCGACATGTTTATCGAGTGACATGGGATGAATTAGTAAGAAATTTATCCAAGTTACCTTGCTTTACCTCGGAACTCCTTGTTAAAGAACAAGGCGGCGGAGAAGGACATAATCACATGATGAAGAAGTAACAATGGGACAAGATCTATTATGCAGCGATTACATCGAGAGAGGTTTTTAAACGTCGAATGCATGATTGGTTTGAATGAGTTACATCACACCACCGCGTAATCGACACACAAAATACTTTTTGCTGTGATAGGGGTTCCAATTTGTTTTTTTTCGCATGAACGCGTATCCGAAACATGGTACTTTTATTTAATAAGCGAGATTATCGACTCATTATGAAAATGTGTTTGTTTCTACGACAAGCTAATAGCTTAGCATAATCCTTAGTCGTTCTATTCATATTTAAAACTTTGCTACATGTAAATATTAGTATCGTGTAAGCCCATTGTGTTTAATACTGCCGGTCTAATGTTTACTTCCACTGAAGCCAATAAGTTGTTTGGAAGGATTTTTGCTTTTTACCAGGGATTTATTTCCAAATTCGCCCTGCTCACATTTTGACTTTTATTTTATAAAAAATACTATATATCATGTTAAGATATTTTTAATATTGACCAGTAATTTCGTGTATAGCTTTTCTTTTACTTAGGCTTTGTTTATTTTGCGGATAACATTTTCCTTATTTTCCGGCGTTTAGATCAATTAGGAAAATGCTAGTCAACGGAAATCCTATGATAAAATTTAGGAAAAATGACCTCCTCTTTAAAGAATTGGAAATTATTTTCTAAAATATGACTAAATATAGGTGCTTGGACAAAAAACTCTGTGCTTGGGCACATGAACCCTAACTAGGGGTGAACATGGGTCTAGGGTAGAACCGTAGAATCGAGAACCGGTCCGGTTCTCGATCCTAAGGAGGGAGGTTCCGGTTCCCGGTTCCATTTTTTTAAAAACCTTTGGTTCCGGTTCGGGTTCCTAGGAACCGGAACCGGAATCGGAACCGAGAATCGGAACCGGAACCGGGAATTGAAACAGAGAACTGGAATAGAAATCGGGATCCGTAACCGAGAACCGGGAATGGAACCGGAGTGAACATGGGTCTAGGGTAGAACCGAGAACCGGACCGGTTCTCAATCTTAAGGAGGGAGGTTCCGGTTCCCTGTTCCATTTTTTTAAAAACCTCTGGTTCCGGTTCAGGTTCCTAGGAACCGGAACCGGAATCGGAATCGAAACCGAGAACTGGAATCGAAATCGGGAACTGGAACCGAGAACCGGGAATGGAACCGGAAATCCTAAATCTAAAATTCCTAATTTTCTTACTCCTCCTCACTTCTCACTTCTTAGCTCTCAAATTCTCATCTCCATCTGCATGCTCATTACTTTGCTTAACTTGTTATGTAGAGCATTCCTAAGGTTTATTTAGACCTTTGATATATTGTGGTACCATTCGCATGCTCATTGCTTTGCTTAACTTGGGCAAAAGTACACTATAAGTGCCATAACTTGTGTACGGCGATCACTTTGGGGCCATAATTTTTTTTCGGATCACTTTGGTGCAAGTCGGAGGAAAATCGATCACTTTAGTGACTCCGGCCAAAAAGCGACATGGCATTTATATTAAAAAATGGTCGACTTGTACACGGTGAAAATTACGTAGCTTTTTTCAAATTTTTAATTTAAAAAAAAAAAGTTGCGCGGCGGCGAGGAAGCCATCGCCGCTTGCCGCCAACCCACCATCGCCGGGAAGGGCGGTGGTGGTGAGCGCAGTGGTCGGCGAGGTCGCCGAGCCCAGGAGGGCCCGATCCGGCGACCCTCGCCGAGCCCGGCGAGGCCGGATCCGGCGAGGCGAGACCTCGCCGTCGGCCGGGCGAGGCGAGACCTCGCCGTCACGACTGAGGCGATGGCGAGGTCTCGCCTCGCCGCGAGCGAGGTCGCGCCTCGCCGTCGCGACCCGGCGATGGCGAGGTCGGCCTCGCCTTCGTTCGGCGAGGCGAGACCTCGTCGTCGCGACCCGAGCGACGGCGAGGTCTTGCCTCGCCCGGCAAAGCGAGCCGACCTCGCCGTCGCCATCGCGACGGCGAGGTCTCGCCTCGCCGGACGAGGCGAGGCAAACCTCGCCGTCGCGACCCGAGCGGCAGCGAGTCCGCCTCGCCTTACTTTGGGCGAGGCGAGACCTCGCGTCGCCCGGGTCGCGACGACGAGGTCTCGCCTCACCGGATCCGGCCCTCGCCGAGCCACTGCGCCCACCACCGCCCGGCCCTTCCGCGGTGGTGGGTTAGGCAGCGGCGAGGGCTCCCTCGCCGCCTGCGCAGTTTTTTAAATATAATTTAATTTTTTTAAAAGTACACGTCGGCGGGCTAAACGGCGTCGTTTTTGGTTTTTAATGCCGACCGAACCCTCTCGGCGAGCCGTGTCGGCGCCACATCGGATTTCGCGAGCCACGTCGGCATTGGCACTAAAGTGATCAATTTTCAAAAAGTTGGCACCAAAGTGATCCGAAAAAAAGTTATAGCACCAAAGTGATCGCCGTACACAAGTTATGGCACTTCTAGTGTACTTTTGCCCTTGACTTGTTATGTTTGGGTATTCACTGTTATGTATCTATGCCAAGTTTTTGTTATTTAGTGAGATTGATTGTTTTCATTATTCACTCTTTTAAGAAATATCTTAAGCTTGATGGTTGCATAGTTACAACCATTGCAATAATGGATGAAAAGAAAAAGTTGTAGCAGCAGTTACAAATAATCGATACATGATACTTCAATTTTAAATTTAAAACTATTATTAAGTCATCAACTATGATTGTTGTTTCTTTTGATTTTAGGTGGTTAGAATTTGGAACAAATTTTCATGGATCTTTGAGGACCAAAAGCTCATCTTCTTTTCCTGCTTCCCATTTTATTTGTGGTCCTGGATATGGATATTGTCTTGATTGACATGCTAATGGCTTATGAATTCTGTTGCGTATCGATTGACGCAATGACTTATAATTTTAATTGTATTTATTTGAACCATAATGCTAGGAAAATCAATTTTTTGTATTTTCTTTGGTGAATAATAAGCTTATTTGGTATTGTTGCGTTCATTTTCGTTTTATTTAACTAAAAATGAAACAAAAAAAAAAGAACCTATTGGACCCTGAAACTGACCTTAGAACCTGTGACAAGGTAGGTTCTAGGTTCCAGGTTATGACGGATATGTCCCAAATTCCAAAAAATGAGGAACCTGTACTCGAGGGTAGGTTCCAGGTGGAACCTGGAACCGCTCACACCTAGCCCTAACACTTGTTCTCGGGTCTGCAACCCCCAGACTTGAGTCCATCAAGGCCGATCCCCCGACCTCGATGCCCGTGCTCGGGTCCTTAGCGCTTACACTCGAGATCAAGACCCCGATGTCCATCCCAGTGTCCATGCATGGATCCCTGCACTCGCGCTCGAATCCATCTAGGTTGAGCATAAGACCTCGATAATAGTGCCCGGGTCCATCGAGGTCGAGCATAAGGCTCTGGTTCTCGTGCTTGTTGCCTTAACACCTAGCTTGGGTCCACAAAGGCTGAGCGTGAGACTTCGGTACCTGTGCCCAAATCCTGGGGTCCACAAAAGGCATGCCCGGGTCTCGGAGCTCGGGCTCGGGTCCTCAACGCTTAGGCTCGAGTCCCTTAGGTCCGAGCCTGAGTTCATCGAGGCCGAGGTTCGAGATCCTAGTGTTCATGCCTAACTCCAGTCTACAACAACTGGGTCTAGGTCTATCGAGGTTGGGCTTTAGACTCCATTGCCTGTGCCTAGATCCCCTGTGTTTGAGCCTGAGTCCATGTTGGTCTCGGGGTACCATGGTCCATGGAGGTTGGGCTGGGAACCCCCGTGCAAATGCTTGGGTCCCAGTACCCATGCTTGGATCTCGTCCATTGAGGCCGAGACCTTTGTTCCCGTGCCTAGGACCCTCACGCCCGACCCAACCTCAATGGACCCGAATGGGCGACGGGGACCCAAGCTCGGCGCCAAAGATATGGGCAAGAGCATTGGGATCTCTAGCTTAGTCTTTGTAGACCCGAGCCTGTGTGCTGGAGACTCAAAAACGGCAACTAGGATCTCGAACCCTGGCACTAGGGACCCAAGACGAACACCAGGGTCTTGGGCTTGGCCTTGATGAACCCAAGCTTGGCCTTTGTGGCTCTGGGGCTTAGCATTGAGGACCCGGCTTGGTCACCAGGGATCGGGCAAGGGCACTGGCATTCGGGGCTGAGCCTTGGTGGACCAAGGCTCAAGTGTCGAATACTCGAGCTTGAGTGCTAGGGACCCGAGTCATAAAGGTCCTCGGCCTAGGCCAGGGCAGCTATGTCCCAAATTCGGCCTTTGTGGACCTAGGCCTGGGTGTCGAGGATTCGAGCACGACCACTTGGACCTTAGGCCCTACATCTGTGGACTCGGGTCAGGGCGCTATGAATCCATGTACGGGCAATGGGTTCTCGATTCCGGTTTCTATGGACTCGAGATCAATGACTGTGCTCTTGCTTGGGACCTAAGTGCCCGTGCCCAGGTCCTCAACGCCGGGTTGAGGTCCATCGAAGTTGAACCTGGGATCTCGGCGCCTGTGCGTGGTGTCCCAATTGCCTGTGCGTAAGTCACCAGTGTTCAAATAGTATATATATACTTAGGAAAATCAAAT